GAGGAAGAATTTCACTTTTGACTAATCTTTCTATTCTCCCCTTGGAAATATGGCCCAAGCGACAGTGCCATAATTTCGATGAGTCGTGAGTTCTCTTTCTTTTCTTTTGTTCTTTATTCGATGCGACATGCTCATTCCCATTACACACAGAATGCACTTTTCCACGTAGTGATAATAAATAAAGCTCATCGTGTAGTAAAGCATCACCCACATAAGCATTATTAAACCATATGGCACACTTGTCATGTCCAAAATAACATTCATAATTATCTCTGTCCAAACATGAAACACTAACCAAGTTTCTATGACATAATGGAGCATATAGAACATCTTTAAGCAGAAGCTTGAATCCATCAGCTAACTCCAGGGAGATGTTGCCGACAACTGCAACTTCTGCTTCAACTCCGTTTGCCACTTCAATGCGTCTTTCGCTTCTTTGCGTAGTCCGCGTCGAATGGAATCCCTGTAACGAATTTGCAACATGGACAGTTGCTCCTGAGTCAATCCACCAAGTAGATTCCGAAAATTGTGTATACAAGGATTCATTTTCAAAGGAAACAATATTGTTACCTCTCTTTGCCATTATGGACTTCAGCCAATCAGGGCAATCTTTCTTATAGTGCCAAGTCTTATTACAATGGAGACATGTGTCTTTGTTCACTGGAAAAGACTTATGCTGATGTTGAGTTTTTCCATGTGGCTTAGAAGGAGAAACTTTGCTATTTTGATTGTAATTCTTTTTCTTGTTATCCTTCACATAGTTGAGTGAACCACCATGTGAGGCTTTGAGTATGTTCTCTTCTTGGTCACACATTGCTATTGTCTTTTCAATGTCCCATGTTCCAGGTGACATATTGTAGTTTACAACAAAGGTTTCAAACTCCTTTGGCAGTGAAGCCATGACCAGGTGGACCAGGAGCGCTGGTTTGATCTCCAGATCCGCATCCATGGGCTTGAGCTTTGTTGCCATGTTGCTCATCCTGAGAATGTGCTCTCTTATTCCATGACCACCGCCATTGTAGTTCTCTGTCACTAGTTGCTTTATCAACTGGGTGGCGTATGTTTTTGAAGAACCAGTGAACTGGTTATCTTTGTAAGCAACTCCCCTACGGAAGTGCACTCTGCAATTGAGCCCACAATGGCATTCTCAATTGTATTCTTTATAAATGCTATGCACTTTTTGTTTGCATTGACCCACTTTTGGTTTTCAATGGAATATAACATCTCCACTGGAACATGATCCTTTTTTTTTTCTCCCACGCAACATCATCGTCGGTGGCCTCTCTGACTGGCTCTGTAGGTCTGACCGGCTATGGTTCATCCACAACCCAGTCCACCTCAGCACAGACAAATGCCAGGTCTACTTTCTTCCTCCACTCAGTGTAGTTGTCAACTCTTAGTGTCGGAACATCTTCTAAACTACCGCGGATCATCTAACCTACTCGATCCAGAGGATCTAACAATTCCAACTCTTCTAAAACAAGAAAACCAGATTGTCGCAAATCCAATCAAATACACGAGAAAGTCAATCAATCAGATTATCAGAATGCATTGCATTATCTTAGCTGCTCAAAGACAGCTTACCTCAGCTCGGTCACACACCACATCCACATTTGACAGCTCCATGACCTCAACTGCGTGCTCCAAGAACGTGCACCGCTTCCGCATCGACTCCAACAGCGTAAACTTCCAGCCTGAAACAGAAAATATTAATTCAAATTGCAACAGGAAAGGTAAAAAAAAAGCACATAGTGTTTTCAGTGATTTCATGAAACACTAATCGTTGAACAGAGATGATTGATTACTTGGCCGCGCAACTGCAAGGATCAGCCCGGGGAGCCCCGCACCAGAGCCGACATCGACAAGGCTGATGCCAGAAATGTCGCCGCCGCGGGAGGTGTATGCGTGCTCTAGTGGAGGAAGCACGGCGAGCGAGTCAACCACGTGGCGCGTCATGACCTCGGACTCGTCGGTGACGGCGGTCAGGTTCATCCTCTGAACAGCGAAGAGAACATGTAAGCAACTGGGGTTTAGGGTGGGAGCCGGTGGCTGAGGTTTAGAGAGCGACCTGGTTCCAGTCGAGGAGGGCTTCCACGTAGAGGGAGACCTGGCGCTGCTGCTGCGTCGAGAGAGATGTGGCGGAGGACGAGGCGGCGGCGGTCGCGGTGGTGCGAAGGTGGAGGAGGGGGCGCCGGGCCTGGCGGCCCTGGCCGAGGAGGAGGCGCGAGAGGAGGAGGCGACGGCTCCCCGCGCTGCAGCAGCAGAGCGACATCCTGCAGCGGCGGCGGCGGCGGCGGAGCTTCGCGCGCGCCCGAGGCGGGGATGGGGATGGGGTTGGAACGTTGGACCGTTTGGGGCTGTGATATGTAAATGTGGTTTACGTGTCTGGACATCGTAAACGTCTAGAGTAATTTCGTGTTCCAGTGCAGAAAACATAAACTCTGACCTGTCTTTCGGGAGTAATAATTCTGTTGCGCGGCTGGTTTGAGACCAGTGGACTGAAGACGAACAAGGCTTAGTCGATTCATTTTCAGCCATCCGATGCAAAACCAACGGCGAGATCACTTCGTCTACCTCCGCCCCTCTCTCCACTGTTCATCTTCTGCCTCAAACTGCTGAGATACCACCAGCCTAACCGCCTGCTGCCGTCGACCGCGCAACTGCACCCAATGGCGAAGTCGGAACTTTTGTGAAGTATGGGCAAAACTGAGGCTAAGAATGTGTTTTGTTCGCGTCCACATTGTTACACCTTGTCTGGACGGTGCTTGTGATCTGTCTTGTACTTGTTTGCTTGATGTTCTCGTAAAAAAATGTATGCCAGGCCTGGTCACCCCAGTAGTGTGATTAGTCTGGCCCAACTAACAACAACAACAAACAACAACAATAACAACAAAGCCTTTAGTCTCAAACAAATTGGGATAGGCTAGAGATGAAACCCATAAGATCTCGCAACAACTCATGGCTCGCACATGGATAGCAAGATACTCCAATCTTCAGGTCTCTCTTAACGGACTCCTCCCATGTCAAATTCGGTCTACCCCGCCCTTACTTGACATTCTCCGCACGCTTTAGCCGTCTGCTATGCACTGAAGCTTCTGGAGGCATGCGCTGAATATGCCCAAACCATCTCAGACGATGTTGGACAAGCTTCTCTTCAATTAGTGCTACCCATATCTCATATATCATCATTCCGGACTCGATCCTTCCTCGTGTGGCCACACATCCATCTCAACATACGCATATATGCTACACCTAACTGTTGAACATGTCGTCTTTTAGTTGGCTAACACTCGGCGCCATACAACATTGCGGGTCGAACCGTCATCCTGTAAACTTGCCTTTTAGCTTTTGTGGCACTCTCTTGTCATGGAGAATGCCAGAAGCTTGGCGCCACTTCATCCATCCGGCTTTGATTCGATGGTTTACATCTTCATCAATACCCCCATCCTCCTGCAGCATTGACCTCAAATACCGGAAAGTGTCCTTCTGGGGTATCATCTGGCCATCAAGACTAATCTCCTCCTCACACTTAGTAGTACTGAAACCGCACAGCATGTCCCTATATCTCCCCATAAGTTGTTGTACCAAGAAAATGGCTTCCATGGTCGACCTCCCATGCATGAAACCAAACTGATTTTTTGCCACGCTTGTCATTCTTCTTAAACGGTGCTCAATGACTCTCTCCCATAACTTCATTATATGGCTCATCAGCTTAATTCCACGATAATTAGTACAACTCTAAACACCCCCCTTGTTCTTGAAGATTGGTACTAATATACTCCATCTCCATTCTTCTGGCATTTTGTTTGCCCGAAAAATGAGGTTGAAAAGCTTGGTTTGAAGGAAATATGCCCTAGAGGCAATAATAAAGTTGTTATTTATATTTTCTTATACCATGATAAATGTTTATTATTCATGATATAATTGTATTAACCAGAAACTTGATACATGTGTGGATACATAGATAAAACAAAGTGTCCCTAGTATGCCTCTACTTGACTAGCTCGTTAATCAAAGATGGTTAAGTTTCCTGACCATAGACATGTGTTGTCATTTGATGAACAGGATCACATCATTAGAGAATGATGTGATGGACAAGACCCATCAGTTAGCTTAGCATAATGATCGTTTAGTTTTATTGCTCTTGCTTTCTTCATGACTTATACATGTCCCTCTGACTATGAGATTATGCAACTCCCAAATACCGGAGAAACACTTTGTGTGCTATCAAACATCACAACGTAACTGGGTGATTATAAAGATGCTCTACAAGTGTCTCCGATGGTGTTTGTTCAGTTGGCATAGATCAAGATTAGGATTTGTCACTCCATGTATCGAAGAGGTATCTCTGGGCCCTCTCGGTAATGCTCATCACTATAAGCCTTGAAAGCGATATAACTAATGAGTTAGTTGCGGGATGATGCATTACGGAACGAGTAAAGAGATTTGCCGGTAACGAGATTGAACTAGGTATGATGATACCGACGATTGAATCTCGGGCAAGTAACATACCAATGACAAAGGGAATAACGTATGTTGTTATGCGGTTTGACCGATAAAGATCTTCGTAGGATATGTAGGAGCCAATATGAGCATCCATGTTCCACTATTGGTTATTGACCGGAGATGTGTCTCGGTCATGTCAACATAGTTCTCGAACCCGTAGGGTCCGCACGCTTAACGTTTGATGACGATTTGTATTATGAGTTATGTGATTTGATGACTGAAGATTGTTCAGAGTCCCGGATGAGATCACGGACATGACGAGAAGTCTCGAAATGGTCGAGAGGTAAAGATCTATATATTGGAAGGTTATATTCGGACACCAGAATGGTTCCGAAGTGTTTCCGGTATTTTCTGGAGTACCGAGAGGTTACCGGAACCCTCCGGGGAGTAATGGGCCTTAATGGGCTTTAGTGAAAAGGAGATGAGGGCCTCAAGGGGTGGTCACACGCCCCCCATGGGCTGGTCCGAATTGAACTAGGAGGGGGCGGCGCCCCCCTCTTTCCTTCTCCCCCCTTCTCCCTTCCCTTCCTTCTCCTAGTTGGAATAGGAGGGGGGCGAATCCTACTTGCACTGGTGCGCGTCGGTTCTAAACAAACGGTTTAAAACCCCTTTCCCTGGCGGCATCTGGAACCGTCGCCAAGTGAGTGTGGGCGATAGGGGGGTCCTTCCCACACGACCCAGAAACCATCGGGGATATGCCCTCCTGGCACACACGTTCGGCAAAATGAGGTCGTGTGCGACCGTTAAGCACTCAAATACGGAAATACGTACAATACAGCTAAAAAATACAATTATACGATGAAATTGTTTCCGGTTGCAAGTACATCCCACACAGTCAGTCCCCGCTAAACGTTTCCGTTCGTATGTACATCCCACACAGTTGCTCCAAGGAAAACGTTTCCGTTCATAGGTAAATCACACACAATTTTCCCCGTTAAATCGTTTGTGATAGTGTTGCCATTGCACACGATATTAATAATTTTATCGTTTGCGTTATTGAATGCATCACACGCGGTGCGTAGAAAGAAACTGTGTAGCAAAGGTTGTCCATCACACACACTTTTTATGTGATAAACGTTTGCGCAATGTGGCGTAACGCAAACAGTTTTTAAGAGAAAGTCGTGTGTGAAGTGGAGATTGATCACACACGTAGTGGATCCTAGAAACGTTTCTGATCTCCATGTATATCGTAGACGTTTCGCTTTCGCAAACCGTGTGTAGTGTAATCCCTATTTAATCCATAATTAATCCAATTAATCTCTAATTTAAAAATCACATGTTATGAATTTGAAAGTAGGCAATCACTTATTTCATATCCAACCATGTTTATTACAAATATAGGTTCAACCACGAATCCACAATTCAATGCACGGGTACATATACTGAAGAACTATAGAAGCACCAAGTAAAGAATGATGAACCACAGTTGTACTAAAGACTGTAAAAAGAGAGGCGAAAGACATTCTGATTGCTGGAGAAGGTGAAGCGGAATGCCCATATTGTGCCCTCCTTCATGCGTAAGACGCGCACGACTCTAGGCCAACCCCTTGTGATGGCTACCCGTCCATCCTTCACTTTCTTCATTAGGACTTCTCGATGCTCATTGTAGTCTGGATGAAATAATTTAACCTTCATTGTGTGTCCACCAATCATGTACTTTGCGAGGTAATCTTGAGTGAACTGCTTCAGGAACCACTGGGAACGAAAAAGATTCAGACATTGTTGTCTAACAACTCATTATGGGCAGTAAAAAGAGGAGGCTGCAGAGTTTGTAGTTACCATCCTACAGCTCACTGTTGTGTTGGATAGAGCATAAACAAATAATTTGCTTGCCACCATTCATATCTTTTTGCTAATAATCCTTATCAGTTTCCTCACTTGATGCTTGTTCATCAATATCTGATTGCCCCATACGCAAAAAGGGTCGGTGCGTGGATCCTTGTCAAGGGCATATGTACCTACAAGCAACAAGTCAATATTAGAAGCTAACTAGTGTCCAGGCCTGGATCTATATGCACCACACTATGGAACGACGGGGGGAGTACAAGCCGGGGGATGAAGCTAACCTCGGCGAAAAATGGTGGCCACTCCCGTTGTTATCCTGCATAAGTAGTGGAAAGACATGATAAGTACCGCAATCTTAACATCAAACAAATATAGCAAAGGTAAACAACATCATCTCCAAATGATAGCTTGAATGTGTTGGTTTCAGCATGCTGTTAAAGCAGATATAAAATGGAAGGCAATGTTACCGACAACAGGCTTAACAACCATCAAATATTACAATTCAAACTGGTATTGTTAAAAATGAATAGAACATAGGTAATGCTTAAACATCACACTGGATAAATGTGTAAAACTGAAATAAAGGGCATGTGTTAACTACACCAGGAATAACTGGAACCAAATATAGCTGTTCAAACTGGTATTGATGTAGTCGAGCGGCACAATTCCAACTTGCACATAATGAACCACACATTGTGAATGACTGAAATAGACAAGGCATAAATGACCAGTATAACAAACAAATATAGCCATTGAAAACTAGACAGAGTCTCACTGCAACCAACCTAACAAGCAAATACAGATAAACAGGGCATATGCTTGAAAACTGGACAAATGCTCACTGCAACCAACCTAACAAGCAGATAAAGATAAACAAGGCATCTGCTTGATAACTGGAGAAATGCTAAAAAAGTAACCTAACAACCAAATACAGATAAACAAGGCATCTGCTTGGTAACTAGACAAATGCTAAAAAAAGCA